GCCGCGCGCCGTCCCCGCTTTCGGCTTGGGCGGGGCCACGCGGCGCACCGCCATTGCCAACCTGCGGGCCGATCCACGTACCCCCGCACTGCGCGCGCCGTCCCAGCGTACGATGCGCGTCCTTACATTTTCTGGGCCGGACGTCCCGGTGTGTCAAACCACTCGCGCGGACGTGCCAAGACTCGGTGCCCGACGACGTCGGCGCGATGACGAAGATCTTCGCGCGTAAAGAAGGAAAGTGTGTAAGGGAGGCAGATATATTCAAGATGACTCAAACTTCTAGTGATAGCCGGTGATACAATGGTGTATATGAAGAAATGAATGACAAGACCGTAGGAAAAGTCGCTGTTCAGATAAGGAAACGCAACTCTTCCTTCTTCAGCGGCGGATAGAGCCCAGAGGACCGCGGACACCTCGCGGTCTCGTGAATCCTCCGGATAGCTTTTTGAAGATGCGCGTCGGGAGCGCCGGGGGCGTGTCCGGCCGCGGAGGAACGATGATGACGCTGACCGGGCGCTCCTCGATACGCACCGACATCGACAGGCGCCCGGGGCGCGCGCCATCCATAGATCTCATCGCAGGTCGCAAAGGAGGCATTGAGGGGGCGGCTAAGCCTTCGAGGGTGGGCATGTCGCTGAGCGAGATGCGGTGCGCTGGGGTGGAGGTTGCCCGTGCGCATTTTTCCTGCGAAGGGTGTCAGGATGGGTTCGCTGAGGCAGCAGTCGTTTGCGTACCGGCGGTAATGATGCGGCTGACCCGCCAGGGGACGGGCGCGGACGCTTGTCGAATACTGTGCGAACGTCAGTATCTGTTGCAAGTGCGGAGCAAGGGCGGCGCACCATTCGAGAGAGTCGAGCCGAGCGTGACAGTCATCTGGTCGTCAAACACAGGCGACTACGAGGCGTCCCGAGGCCAATACAGCGCCTCCGCTCGCAGAAGAGTTGCCTATATCAGTTATATACTCTGCAGTGGAAAGGAGGTCTTCAGGACGACGTCAACAGCACTGTCGCATCGAGACGGACATCAGACACGTCGGTGCGTACAACGCGCCTACCACTCAATGCACAGCCGGCGGCGTGACGCCAGACGCACTCGACGAACGAGGTGTATAGGAGGCTTCCATGGCGAAAGAGCGTCGTATCCGCCGGCACATCAGCATCGCACCGAAGACCGACATAGGGGGCCGCCCGAATGGTCAGCTCCGTATTCAAACACCATTGGCAGGCGATGCCGTGCATGAGTGGCATGAACACTTGTGGCGATATGCTAAATTGGAATATTGAGCGTGAGGAAGATCGAGTGCGAGACGATCAAGGCCAGCCAGATCGCATCGACTCGAAGGTGAGAAGCGGGGCTGACCCGCACCATTCGCGGATGGGATAGGCAGGCTTCACCGATTCCGAGTCGGTGAAACATACTGCCTCCAGCGTCGTAACGTGGTCGCGTCGGGGTGGGATAGGAAAGAGCCGTAGTGGTAGATCGATAATGCTGCAGATGAGAGCATGGGAACCCAAGGTAATATACAGGAGTTGACACTCTAGGTCTACACTGGGTGGCGAGTCGGGCTACAGCAGGAGAATAAAGATGTGGCGTAGGGCACCGTACTTTTGAGTAGGGTCGGGTGATCAATCGAGGATCTCGAGGTCGCCATACGGCTTTGCCTTGAAGTAGGACTCGTCGAAGTGGTGCATGCGCACAAAACCGTCCTCACCTCCCGATGCGTAGCCAGTGCCAGCTGGGTGAACCGCAATGCTACAAGAGCAACGTCAGCGAGACGGTTGATATGTCATTATACCGGGGGACGTACGTGTTGAGCGGGCCGAAGTGTCCCTTGACACGGCCGACCTCCTCCTCGAAGATCTTGTGCCAGAAACGCGTCTCGAACTTGCCCTGCCGTGCGCTGGTAGTCGTGACATTCATAGCATCCTGTCCACCTCCCAACAAAACATACGGTGCACCAGCAGCGAGTGCGGCACTGTTCAATGGCGTCTCCGTGGTGTAAGTCTTGAGCACCTTCAGAGTGGCAGCATCGTGCACGCGCGAAGATTTGTCCTTCGAGCTGGTGATGAAGTATGTGCGATCGGGCGAAAGTTGCAAGTCCGTAACGACGTCTCCGTGTGCCCTCTCATTGCTCTCAACCTCCTCTCCACTCTTCGCGTCGAACAAAGCGACCTTGCCCGACTCGTGGCCAGTCAAGATGAGGCCAGGCATGTACGGGAAGGCGCAAACGGTCGGCTTGGAGCCGATTGGATGGAACATCGACGCTGGCTCGGTATTCTGGTCCCGTCCGTCGCCCTCGCGGTTGATGTCGAAGATGCGAATTGCGCCCTGGTGGCCCATGCGCTGCTCGGTGATGCAGACGATCTGATCGTCCTCGGCGTTGAAGGCGACGCGCTTCACCGCCGTCGGGAACTCCCAGACGTAGAGGCACTTTCCGGTCGCGACCTCCCATAACCTCATCTCGTTGTCGGCAGATCCGGTGACCAAAAAGCGGGATTCAGCTGTGAGGGATATGAGCATTAAAATAGTAGAATTATTGACGGAATGTTACGCACAGTCGACGTCGCATGTCCATACTGTGCCGTTGTGGCCATTGTATGTACCGAGACGCTCGCCGTTGTGTGAGAACCAGACGTTGATGACGTGGTCCTTGGAGCAGGAGAAGAGGAGATCGCCCTCCTTGTTGAACTTGATCTGCGTCAATGAACGCTCGTGTCCTGCGCACGCGGTCAGGACAGGTTCTTAGCAGCATTTCCAATCAACATACCCTGCAGAAGAATTGGCCTCTGTGACGAAGTATTAGTGAGCAATTTATTGTATCATGGCCTTATAATACGCACCATGGCGATGGATAGAGGTAGACCCGCTTTACGAGTTTTTGCGGAAGTGAGGGCGGGAGGCAAACGAGCGTGAGATGAGATTTCCGTCGGTGCCGCGATCAAAGTCAGCTTTACTCTTCCCCGCCACCTTCGGATCCGCGCACATAGACTCCAATTGACATATCTGCCAACCTTTACTCCATCTGTCGAACAATGGCGATGATCACTGTCTCGGGCTTCCCTTCTAGCGGAAAATCCCGTCGCGTAGCCGCTCTGCAAGCGGATCTTGAGCGGAGGTTGCTAGACGCTTCATACGACGGACCTCTAAAACGCGTCGTTGTGCTCTCGGACGACTCTTTGAATATCTCCCGAAGTGCCTATGATGATAGCAGGGCAGAGAAGCCAGCTCGTGGCGCAATATTCACCGCGTTACAACGCGCGCTTGCCGCGGACGCTGTGGTCATCGTCGACAGCCTCAACTATATCAAAGGCTTCCGCTACCAAATGTACTGCGCCGCGCGTGAACAGAAAGCTCGAGTGTGCACCGTGCGTTGTTCTCGTTTCATCATGTCAGGATGAGAAAGGCCGACCGCATTGCAAAGTAGATACATGTTGTCGCTCGCCCGGACATGTGTCGCGAATGGAATAAAACCCGTGAAGACGGCCGAGCGTACGCGCCGGAGACGTGGGTGATGATTGCTGCTCTATCAACACTTGTCTGATCACCGTGTTACAGACTTGACAACCTCTTCATGCGATACGAAGAACCTAACTCAATGGTTCGCTGGGATGCACCCCTCTTCACCGTCCTATGGGACGACCCAGAACTGCCTCTCGGCGACATCTGGGGTGCTCTGACTGAAGGAGTTGTTAAAGCGCCCAATACAGGCACTCAAGCCGTAAGTCTATCATGCCCTTGCTACTTCCAAATCTGAACGTCTGCGTTGAAGATCCCAAAAGCGCCTACGGACGCACTGCATACACTCGAGCACACATCTGCGGCCCTTGTGTCTGCGCTGATGGCAGCACAAGCAGCATCCGGAGCGCCCGGTGGACTGACGACAATATCTTTACCCGAGCACACGACCTCGCTCAAGATCACTCTTCCGCAGCGCGCCGTACCACTTGCAGAATTGCAGCGCCTAAAACGCCAATTCGTGGCTGTGCACAAGAAGGCGATCACTCTGGGTACGGTGGAGAAGGGGGCGGTCGATTGGAGTGCGGAGGCAGTCGCGCAGAAGTTCGCCGAGTATATCGAAGAGCATCTGAAGCCCTGAATGAAGATATGTTGATCGCAGACTCGGTACATCGTGTGCTGTACAACGGGGCGCCTCGGTGTAGCCGGTGAAGAACGAATGGCACCATGGTGAGCGCGCCAATGACTCGAGCCTGGTTTCTTCACTGACCCGCACCCTGAGCTCGCTGCCAGACTTAGCGGCGGCCGACACTGCGTGTCGCTTTAAGCTCACGCTAGGCGAGGCCTGTCGGAGCGCGAAAGTGGCATATCAGCGAGGCACAAAAGTCCTTGCTTTATTTTCATTGTCTCGTTTGTCTCGATTGTAGCCGCCACTCGTTGCTTTCTATCGCCTCCCAACCCGAACGAACCCGGTTCTTGTATTCACACAACATGGCGCTTCCTGTCCCCATACAGTCAGAGACGAGATGCGCCCAATTCAACCGGGATTACCGTCTTGCACGGTGATCGCCACAGCTAAGCGCGTACTTAATTCGCGAACGGCATGCAACGTGGAGCCATGTTGCTTTGTTCTCGAAAGGGCAAACGACAACCATTGCATCTTGCCTTATCCGACACTGAATACGTTCCGCGTCCTCGGCCAACAGCGTCGGGCATTGAAATATATTGCGCACCTCTTGTGTGGCATCAGCTCGTGCAAGCGCTGGTGGCGGAGCACTGGGTAGCCGCCCCGAGAAATCATGCAATGCGCCGCGTCCGACTTGCCTCGGGTTGGTGATATGCTCCCGTTCGTTGCATCTGTGTCTCGTACCTATCAACATCACGTCTTCGCCGCGCATCTATCAGCCAGGTAGCACGATGACATGGATCCAGATCTCATGAGTTTGCTTATAACTTGACCTGGATAGCGCGCGTATAACGGACCTCCAGCCACCCACGCGACCTTCGTTCGTCGAGCCCGATTACTCTTCGCCACGGATACTCAAGAGCTCGATTGGCCGACCTAACCCGACACATAGCATCTTCACACAGTGAATCATGCTCTCCCAAGAACGACAAAATGTCAGCGCGAGCGACGGCCAATCAGTGAGTTCCCCAAAATATCAAACGTCACCATTTGTTTCATCCTCATACAACTACAGCTATCGTCCTTAACTGTCTTACCCTCTTTCGACGATGGCAACCTGATCTTACACGCGGGCGGCCATGCTGTGCGCGTACACGCTGGTCTATCTGCGTCACGTTCGCGTAGCCTGGCACAGCAGCTCTCACATTCTGCCACGGGCACTGACACTGGGATCCGGGCTATTGAAGTCCGTCGCGGCGCCGACCTTCCTTTGTTGCTCCAATGTCTGTACCAAGCCAACCCTCTCAGGTGCCCATCTTTGCTTATGCGCCACTATGAACTTGAACTAAGTATCTTGATTACAGCTGGTCTTGGGATCCTGAGACAGCTCCACCCTCTCTATCGCACATCGCCGCGCTCTCGGATATCGCAACCTGCTACGATATGCCTGAGCTTCGCCAGGCGGTGATCACACACCTCGACTTAATCTTCCCTCCGGATCTTACAGACTATGCTGGCGCTCTTCGTGCTCACTTGATACCGAGTGATTGGGATCCACTGGTCGTCTGGGACCTCGTCACAAAGCATAACCTGCCGCAAATGCGTTATCCTCATGTCGGTACATTGGCTCTACTAGCCGCTGCTACTTCTGTAGGAGAGGATACAGAGGATCAAGTTAAGATGGAAGAGGATAACAATGATGAAGAGTGTTGCCCTTCATCGGATGCTATCCGCGCGAGGGACGCCTTCCGCGCACACATGCTGAGCTCGCTGCATGCCGCCTTTGCTACCGGTGCCATCGGGCTGGAATGGCCAGCGATGCCATGCCCAAACGTAGGCTGTGGCTGGGAGGCCGCGCATGATGTCACAGAACGACGCTATCGTTCGTTGGCTTTCGATGTGTGCAGCGATCTGGCGGAGGACATCGTCGGGAATGGGGAGCTTCTTGATGCCTTATGCCCTAGTTGCCGAGAAGCGCTTCCACGCGCTGGAGAGAGGCTTCGCGAGCAGGTATGGGCATGGCTGTGCCGTGAAGACGGGGAGGAGCTCGAGGATCCGTTCGTACTAGGGTGAATGAGCTCTCCAACGCTGGTGGGACCAGAAGTACTGTGATGATAATGGATCATACATGTACAACCCCTACTACACTAACAACTAGTCTAATGGGATTTGGAAGCGTTTGCAACGCTGTCATGTCTTGGATTCAATGATTGTGAATAGACTATGTAATCCCCGAAGGCACGGCGCTCGGATATCGCCGACTGTGAAGCCCGGAGTATGCCGAGTGGATGACCTGGCGCGGTTTGCCCACGCGGACGACCTTGCCAGCAACGGCGACCGCTTTCAAGACGGTCATTGAAGGCATATGCAAACTCTACCTGCTTTGTCTGCATTCAACTACGGGCTTCGCATGTACACATACCTCGTATCGACCTCCAATCCTACCGCATCCGCTCTGCTCCGCGCGCTTCTTCGGCGGATGCGGTACGGCGCACCCGCGAACACTACGCGCAGGGTGCTTGTGCTACGTACGGGCACTGAGGCTACAATATGCATTCCGCGAGAGTGGTTCTTTTATTTCGTGGAAAGCCTCTGTGGGGACTCCGCCCGATGCGAGGATAGTGCCGGGAATAACAGGGGTAGTATATGAGGCTAACATACGCGCGTGCTCATCCGTACTGTGCTACATAGTTATGATGATGGTTTAATCGAGTCACCCGTTTGAACGTCTGGTGGAAAATCATCACACCGAACAAGTTGAGTTTGAAAGGCATGCATTGACATATAAAAGCTATGCCGGTGGAGACGATGAGTCTACGTGCTGATGATGGGTAGTCTACAATATGATTACATGGGCGTGATTCAGAAAAGCGTGCGATCCATATCGGAGAGCAGTCAAAACAGCAGAACAGAGCAAGCAGGCATCTAGGATGTGGAGGAGAAGAGTATGCGAGACAAGGAGGCTCATGCGTCGATCTCAAACTTGAGCTGCACGATCTTGCCATCCTCCTCGATGGGCGTGCAGCGGACCTTCGTCATGTCCTCGACGATGAAGTGCGCGCCGCAGTTCTCGATCTTCTTGCGCTCGTGCGAGGTGCAGACGGCGATGACGGTAGCGCCCGAGGCAACGCCGGCCTTGATACCGGAGGGAGAGTCCTCGAAGACGATGCACTTCTTGCAGTCGTAGCCAAGAAGCTCAGCGGCGAGCAGGAAAGGGTCAGGAGCGGGCTTGCCGGCCTTAAGGCGCTTGTCATCGGCCGTCACCGTGATTTCGGGAGGAGTGATGCCAACACGGGTCATGCAGCCATATGCTGAGGAAAACACATGAGCACGACGCGGTCACGCGAGAATCCAAACAGGGAGACGTACCGTATGTCTTCGCACCAGAGGTAGCAACAGCGTAGCGGCCTTTGGGCAAGGAGTCGATCATGCGCTTGACACCGGGAAGAATCTTGACGGAGCGGTCGACGGCAGCAGCCTCGATCTGCCACGCCTTGCGCTCATGACGCGTCTCGGGGTGGTGAACGCGGTATGCGGGATCAACCTCGCCACCAGTTTTTGCACCAGTGAGACCGCCCTTGCCGCCCTGGGCCTCCTCCTCGTCGGCGTCCTCGGCAATCGGGTTATCATAGCGACGTTGAGGCTCGACGGAGCTCATCGCGAGCATGTTGCCGAGGCGGGTACCGAACGATGGGCGGCGAGCGCCACCAGAGAACGAGCCATGGCGGGAACCCGGTGCAGATCCCATGTCAGGCGTAGCGAAACCGGAGTCGTAGGGTGTGGCGGGCGTTGCCGGAGTGGCGGAGGGCCAAGGAGAACCGGTCTGCGAGCCAGGCCCGTGCTTGTTGTAAGCATCGGCGAAGTAGAGAATGGTCTCCTCGAAGCCCTGGACCTCCTTGTCCATGTCGTCCGCCCTGATGTCGGGGCGGAAGCGCGCAAGGTTATCGACGGCGCGCTTACCGTGAGTGGCGGCGATAACGTATTTGGGATCTTGGTTGATGTCGCGGGCGACCTTTCCCCATGCGGCCTCGACGGCGGCTACGAACGGGATATAATCAGTATGATTGCTGAGGCAGAAATTGTTCGACGTCGCGTACCGATGGAGTCGGTCAGTGTGCCGTCCATATCAAAGAGAACGGCGTCGGCGTAAACAACGGAAGGCGACATGGCGAGAGTACGAGAGCACAAAGGCTTTTTTTAGTAGTGGGAGTAGGCAGGGAACCTTTGCAGGAGTGGATGAGATGGTGAACTGGCAGGACCGTCCAGTCGATCCTTATATACTGGCTTGCCTCCGTGCAATCGAAAATCTGAGAGTCGCAGCGCACGCGGGAGTGACGTCAAGTGAGCGCTTACGCGCCTCACAGCGGGCCCCGATGTAAACTTGAGGCGGCCGTAACATGCCCCATTTCTCCTTCGGCCACACACAGGGTTGCTTCCGTCCCTCTCATAGACGCTTTCACCGTAACTCTCGAGCCCATCCGGTAAGAACGAGAGGGACGGATGAGGAGCAGAAGGTGATTTGGGGTGAGATCAACATCTGTGTGCCTCGGGTGACGCCCGCAGACACTTGACGCTCGCGCGAGAAACTTCGAGCTATATCCCGAAAAGGCAATCAAGCTTTGATCACTTCTCCGCCTACAGCACGGCCGTTGAGTCCGCCGCCAGGTACCACGTACAGCTTGCTCGTGCCCCGATCCCAAAAAATCCCGGTGAATGGTAAATTTGATCCACGTTGCCTCGCGGCGTTCTGAACGTCTTTCGCCTCCCCTTTCACGTCTTTCGTCGGCGAAGGTTGTGTTGAGCGAGGAGGAATGACGACGCCCGGAAGGGCAAAGTAGATCGATTGTCGCGCGGAAAGACTCATCCCGCAGCGCCAACCACATGGGAACATGCGAGCTTCGGAACAGTGGAGGATCGCCGACACGACCGCCTTTCCGGTGGCGACAAAGCAAGCATGGCGCGTTTTGGCCCCGCCGACGACGTAGTCTTCGCGAAGAGGAACTAAAGCGAAATGCACGCATGGGAAGGCATAGTTGACGTGGAGCTTCGTTCAAGGGTGCTTACGGTACGAGGTACCCGCGAGGAGAGAAGAGGGCGGGCAGGCACCGGCCTCTGGCTGCATGACGCGCCACACCCAATAGTCCGTACGCAGCGCAGACGACGCGTCTAACCCTCGAGTGCGCTCAGGCGGGAACGTGCGTCGTATCCCTTCCCTGCTAGGCATCCCCTCGCACAACATTACAGTAAGTTCGTCATATCGACCAGCACACTGCTGAACAGAAAGTAGGTGGAGCCGCGCTTACCTCGGTGACGCCTCGCCTACGATTTCTCTGCGTGAAGTTCGAACAACGTCCGCACATGCTCATAACGATCGATATGGAATTACTTCCCACCAGTTGCCCGACGTTGGAAGACGTAAAGGACCTCGCTATAAGGGTCGCTTCTGCCTCTAAATGAAACTGTGCTTGATTGGCTAGGCCTTGTGATTTGCGCAAACACGCGCGGACTGACACGGCGTACCGGTTCCAAGCTCGCAGGAGGCCTAGTACGTACCATAGCCAGTGCGCACACGTCATGGCAAAACTACGATTCGATGGAGACCAACGGGGATTGCTCCTGTGCGCTCGAGAGGAGTCTGAAGATAACACCAGTAGCGAATAGCGCACGAGTAGCGCAATCCGAGTGCGAGTACCCGACGAGGGCCGAAGTCTATATTCACAGGCGCGCCACTGAAATGGCCGTACCCATCACAAGGGCGACGGGTACCCACGCCAGCTAGAAATTGGGTTTAGACGGGGATAGAAGTCTGGATTTGCGTCATTGTCCGATAGCCATCAAGTAGCGGTAACGCGTCATATCGTGGAATGCTTGTTGGGCTGCAAGTATATCGTCACAAAGGATTGGAGCGGCACATACGTACGAGCGTACGCCAGTCCAGTATCACAACCTTATGAATCTGACAATGCCCGGGCTCAAACGATTCCGAGCCATCCCGTATTGGGTACCCAGATCATTATACGCTGGCGTTCGATGAAGGAGCACTCATCAACGGGGATAGATAAGCAAGAGTTGGAACCGAGCCAGCAGGCTTTACCATGCTCGTGATATTAAGAGGGCATATTGATAATAGCATGTTGCACGTTGCTGTTGTACGGCAAACCCGGACCCACAGTGACAGAGCAAATCTACCCAATGTCCGACACTGCTGCCACTGTCGTCGTGAATCGACGAGGCCTCCAGACCTGTTCAAATTGAAAGGAAGGACGCGCGTGCTGGTTTCATCTCGTTAAACAGCCTACAATCTGAGCGTGTCGGTGGACGCTAGACGTGCTAGCTTGCTCCTACGTGGAGGCGAAGTAATGAAGAGCACGATGATAAGGCAGCCTAAGCCTTACTAGGCTCGTACTCTCCAAGGCATGCGAACTTATCCAACCGATAGAGAGGGTGGTGAATCTGTTCATGAGTCTGATGGTGGGAGGAAAGGGGTGTTGGCCTCGCCGCTGCGGCAGAAGCCGCGCGACTGAAACAGCCTCCACTGCCACCTCGCCACTTGCTCTTGACGCTCGTGCATGCACGCACGCGAACATCGAGTCCCCGATGCACACACATTACACGCCCGGCGCTCTCACTTTGGGCGTTTCTAGTGTTCTCATACGGACCGAACTCAGGAGGAATGTCTGAAGTTCTCCGTTCGCGCCAAGCCCAAGTCCATCACGAGCGCGATCCGCGAAACACCCTCCCTTGACTCTTAACCGTTTCGTCCCTTGCTTGGACTACTGTCTACCCTACGAGCCCGCTCGCTTTACTGATTTCAGCCGACGGGCTGCACTCTTGGCTCATCTAATACCTAGGTTTACGCGTAACTTTTTCCTGCGCGGGAGGCTTGGCCCGACTGGTGACCCAGGAGGTCTTTCATATGACGTGAACGGAGTCTGTTTCGGCGCGTTGCACAGGTCTGGATACACATATAAGAGCGCTGCTGGCACAAATCTGGGATTGCCATTGCGTCTGAGCCACCAGGTCGTTCGACTACACAACACGCAATGAAGTGCATCGCCGTCATCGCCTTTCTTGCTACGGCAATGCTCGCTTCAGCGTCACCTACTCCCGATGCTTCGACTTCGGCTGCTCCTAGTGTGCCCAGCGACTCTGGCGACTTCGGCATCTGCGTAATCGGCGTAGACAGTCGTACGTGCGATCAATGTAGATTGTGGCCTCCAGCTGAAATTTTTTCACAGCGTGCAACTCTGCGGAATTTCAGAAGTAGGGCTGGATAGTGCGCAAAGCATATTGAGGCTCGGGACTTGCGCTCGAGGTAATTGTCGTCCGCGCACATCCTCCCTCAAGAGACTGATTCTCCTACTGTCATGAAGGAATCTCACATATCGGTCTATTATCGTTGAACCCTTACATGCCTTGAATATAACATGGTTTCTCCGCATAAATCGACGTGAAGATGACTCCGTTGTATCTAGGCTTGAGCGGTATGTCATTAGACCAGCTGTTGTGAGAGACGCGGGCAGCATTGCCCGCATTTTATTAAAAGGCTGTGAGAGTTTGTTGATGACGTGTCCTGGCTGCATGCATAAGAGTGCCACCTCGTTTCTTCCCATCGTGCCCACCTGCTACCCACCATACTTGGCATGAAGTTAACCGCAACCTTTGTTATGCTGGCCACGGCTGCACTCGCTGTGGCATACCCAGTTCTCAGCACACCCGGCGGGGTCGGTGTCTGCGTCGTCGGTGTTAACAGCGGTGCGTACCGTCACGCACAATCACGCAGGTCGTCTCTGATTGTGATATTGGCAGCGTGCAACTCCCCGGAGTTCAGAGGCAAGAGGAGCTGGAGTGCCGATCGTGCTCTCTTCTCGACCGGCTCTGCGTGAGGTGGATTATCTCGTACTCTCGGAGGCCATCATCGTCACTAACATCGGGTTGAAGCATTTACCATGGAGGAATACCCACGCCCAACTAGCCGAATCAGCATCCACTCTCCAGCCCATCTTACCTCACAATTGCCACGAATTTACTTGCATTTTGTGTATGATCAATCTTGACAACATCGTGCATTCCTTTGTAGCGACGTCGATAACCCAGGCAACATACAGACATGAGACGATAAGACAGTAGTGCAAGCGAACGCTTCCCAGATCAAGCGATGGCAGACATTTCTTCTTGGGTACCACCTCCTGCTTAGGCCTCTGGCCGTGGTCCTAGCTTGAGCACCACGCGCGGCAACTTCTTCTGCCCTGCTGCTTCTCCTCGAGGTGGTGGCGCTGGTGTCTCATCAGCTGATGAATCAGAACTAGACGATTCAGTCAACGAATTGTCTGATTCTCTCGCCGCCTTCGCAGCAGACGATGGTGGCTTCAATGACCGAGACGCGGGAGCCTTGGCCTTCTCAGCGGTCGAGGGGCGAGTATCAGCTGGCGTGCGCGCACGTAGCGTGCGGGTGCTTGGGGGTACGATGTTACGTGGCTGGGTCAATGCGGTAGGATCCATCTGAGCGAGAAGAGCCGAGGTCCGAGAGAGCCACTGTTCAGGCGCGATGTCTGTCGCGGACAACGAGACTTTGCCTCGTTTTTTCCGGGCGGTCAGCTTCGAAAGCTAGGCGCCGGTGAGGATGAGTCGCCAATCCTGGTAGCGTAAGGTAAGGGAAACTCACCGAATCGACATAATCAGGAGTCCACCATGCTTCGCGGGCGAGCGCGTCTCCCGACCCTCCCACCATACCGGTAATATGGGCCATTGCACCACTCGAAAGCGCCTTGTCGCTATAGCCACCTTCGAGAAGGCTTACAACACGACCACTGGTCCACTTATCTGCAAACTCGCAAGCATCGCGCGTGAAGCGGTGGTAGAAGGAAGTAGGGACCTTGCGCTGATGTCGCTGCATGGAGTCGTACTCGTGCTCGCACGCGTCGAAACCGCAGCTGATGAAGACCATGGCGTCGTCCGCGCCCGAATCCGTACTCTCCAGGAAGTGTTGAGCTTTCTTCAGTAATCGGCTGTATGTTCCACGATAGAGTGCGTCCCAAAACTCATCGTCGGAATCGTACGTCTCTAGATGTATGTTTTCGATGTACTGCCCATGCTGGCCGTGAATCGATACAGATGCGGCTTGGACAAGCTCCATCTTCCCATCCTGCACGCATATAGGATGTAAGCACCCTTGAAAGACAAACAAGATTGAGGAAAACCCGACCTCGCAAGGGTAGGATAATATGTCATGGACAGATCCGTAGTATACCTGCATACTCGGTTTGTCGTCGACTGGAGCCCCTCCTTCTCGCTCAAGCTTCAGGCGGTAGGCTTCCTCGTTGATCTGCCAGATGATCGATTGTGTGCCATTCCCTATGACGAGCAATGAGAACACGAAAGTACGGCCCTAAGAGCACTGACCGTGATGCAGGTCAATGTCAAGGATGATTATACGGTTGACACCGTGTTGAAGATGCGCTAGACAGGTTGCTAAGTATGTATACTCAACAGCAAGGTGAAGACTTAACACACCATGGGCGGCACCAACGGCCACGTTGTTCACCCAACAAAAGCCAGAGGGCGTGTCCTCCCCACAGTGATGGCCAGGTGGTCGGATGGCGACAAATGCCCGTCGTGCTTGTTCAGCCACAGCCTCTGTAGCTCTTGATGCAGCGATCACAGCGTCTACTGCTTCACAAGTCGTCCCCAGTGCACCTTGTATCGCATCCAATGACTCTGGGCATACTAGAAGAATGGTAGTGTCACTATGATACCACCCGCTGAACGAGCGTTGGACGATGCTTACAGTATAGGTCGCCTTTGTTGAGGCCCTCGAAGATCTCCAGTTCTCCTTTTGCTATCTTATCTCGGCTTGATCTGGTATGATCGCGCAGCTTCCCCAAGTACACATCGCACTCGATATCGCCATGAATATGCTTGGCCGCTGGGTGGCTCAATAAGTCCACCGTCGCTGAGCTTCTCACAACTCGAATAGGCAGCCCAGATGCGACATGTATTTCCTCCTCCGCTTTGCGAGGTGGGGTGAATGTAGATGCGATGTTCATGCGACCGATGGCATCGGCGAGATCATCCGCTTCGGACTTGACGTCGGTATCAGGAAGCGGTGGTTGTCCAGTTTGGGTCTCTTCTTCCAGTCTAGCGATAGCGGCCGCCAGCCCTACTTTCACTGCGCGAAGACGCTCTGGACGCTCAACGACGTTGGATGTATCTCGCGAACGGATATAACGATGTTGTAAACAGGCGTCCTGGAGGTAGATTGCGACAGGACGAGACGAGATTGAAGTTGCAGTCGGAGATGCTACAGAAGGTCCAGCGGCATTGACTTCCACGGAAGCGCTCATAGTAGCAGAAAGGTGTCCGAGGCAGGGATGATCCTCGTCGCAGATAGCAGAGGAAGTGAGAGAGCACGCCAATGGTCTTGAGCAGAGGCTTTATAACGCGGGCCTCATACAGTCGAATCCTTTGTTGATCAGCCTTTCGGCGGACTCTGCCCTGAATCGTGGGAGTCCTTGAGGTGGGTTATAGTACTGGCACGACGGCCTGACAATGGGCTGTGGTCGTAGTCAGTGAATGAAGCGCAAACCCAACTTCAACCGGAACAATTGATGTCTTGCGTCGATTTCCCGCGCCACCCACTTGTGGTTCTGGTCTCCGGGACCAACAGAGGAGGTAAGGCTGGCTACGTGAGTCACAACGAGGCCAGTACTAGTGAGATCAAGATATACCCTAAGGATATATACCACTTGGTACTGCACGGGGTAAGACTCATCGACAAGATGCCGGATTCAAGGCAAGTCCATCATGGTACTACAAACTGGGCACTGCTCCGAGGCAGCATCGTATAGCTACATAGGAGCACTACCTCTTCCTCTTAGTACCACTTCCCTTCCCACAAACAGCCCGTAGCGCCCTAACGGCCTCACGAGCCTCTTCAAACTTCTCATCTTCCCCATCTACCCAAGCGCGTTTATCCTTGGCCTTCCGCGCGCCTTCGACGACACGTCGCGCTCGGCTTGCGTAGCCTGCCTCACTCGCGCTCAGACTGAGGATACCGAACTCAAGAGAACTTGCGGCGCGCGCAATAGCGTCTGCATCTTGCGCAATAGTCGTGGCCCACGGTATGGTCGGGACGACGGTGTGTAACGCACACCGCAACGAGGTGAATGTCCGCAAGCGTACTGAGGCTGGTATCTTGTTCGAGAAAGCAGCATCAAGCTCAACGACCGTGGGTGGGAGTGCTGGCCCGAGGGTCACTAAGGCGCGCTTTAACTCCTAGGGTTCACGAAGAAGATATCAGCCACTTACGAGTAAGCTCTTCGTCATCACTCTCGGATGCCGGCTCGAACAACGGTACATACGGCGGAATGGTGTTCGACTCGTCCCGGTCCACGACGACAGGCTCATCATCCTCATCATCGATCTCGATAACCGGTGTTATCTCTCGCTCCTTTGCAGGCGCAGGTCTAGGGGCCTTGAAAGGGACCTTAAACCCAGCCCTTCCATTCCCAGCACTATGCCGAACCCCGATCGCTCCCGAGGAGTAGTCGGTGCGAACTCGCTTCGGCGCACTCGATCCTGGCGCTGAGGTAGAACTAGCTGAGTCGCTGCCCGAGCTTGACGTGCGCTTAAGAGATGACTTCAACAAGCCAGGGCCCCGATAGGGAGCAGTAGCGCGGGAGCTAGGTGCCATGACGGTGCTGCCAGTTGGGACGGACGGTAATTCTGCTTGCTGTTTCTCTTTGCCCTTCGTACCGGGACCATCCTTCTCCAGCCGAGCAGCTTCGACCCATCCCGGGTTTGCCCTTTGCGGTGGATAGGCCCTTGTTCGCGCGTCGAAAGTGGGCTTGATTTCGTTGCTTCGACCGCCGCCTGTCGCTCGAATGACAGGAATGCGCGACGAGAAATCCTCGGCACCAGGTACCAGTCCAGCTGTAAGCGCTTCTTGACGTGCGCGCGTGCGATCGGGGTACTTGCAGACGTCGCACATACGCGCACAGTATGTTGCACGGGAGTCGGCATCTTTGGGTATGGGTTCCCCGAAGAACTTGCAGATAAGCTTGAAGGAGGGTGCTGATGAGCCCAGATCTCAAGCATAAAGATAAGGTGAAGGCTCACGATGTGTCGACATACGACAGTGTTCTCAGCAAAAGCTATGAGCGCGCCGAGACTGTCAAGTGAACGTTGACTCGGTGGTGGCGCATCACCCTGCTCGTACGAATTCACACGCTTTCCATGCGACCCGTTGACAAGCTTCCGCACGTACAACGCGTCTTCACGAGCTAGACGAAGAGAAAGGATCTGTGAGTACAGAACGCCGAGGAATCAATCATGATCGAATGCGTACAGTAGAACATGACGCATTTGGCTGCCTACGAGGGAAAAGTCAGAACCATTGACTATGCGGTTTGGTATCAGCTGCGCTTACCTCGCCATCGCGGCCAGCACGACCAGTTTCCTGGTAATACGCCTCCATACTCTTCGGAAGGTCAAAATGCACAATGTATCGTACATTGCCTTTATCAACACCCATACCAAATGCTATGGTCGCGCATACCTGAGCCTTCATCAGCACTGGTACGTGACAGCCTAGGGAGCGAGGCAGACTGCAAACGTACAACATCTACGCCGCCCTGCCCGTCCCCACCTACTTCCCACTCCTTGAGTGTCTTATCTAGGATATGAGGCCTATGCAGCGATCAGGATGGGAGGAACACGAGTAGTAACTGTCCACTGACCTGATGCCCCTATGATATGGTCGAGCAGCGATGCCCTTGCCGCGCAAGTAATTTGAGAGTTCATCGCACTGCTTCTTCGAGCGGCAGTAAACGATGCCGCTACTCGGACGTCCGCGGCGCTCATGTAGGTTGGCAATGAAAGTGAAGACGGCGTCGCACTGATCCATCGTATTCGCCGTAGAGTGGTAGCGGACCTCGTAAAAGAGGTTCTCGCGATTGAATGGGTGCACGATCTTGTACATTGTGCGCTGATCAAGCCGAAGCGAGCGCACGATGTCACTCTGAACGACGGGAGTGGCACTTGCAGTCAAAGCCATGATAGGAACGTCCGGGAATTTCAAGCGGAAGCGATCCAGCTTGCGATATTCCTCCCGGAAATCATGGCCCCACTCGGAGATGCAGTGAGCCTCGTCCACGACAAGACGCCGAAGCTGGTGTCGAGAGTAGACCTCCTCCAAGACCCTCATGAAGTCTGATGTTTGTAGTCTCTCTGGTGTGACTGGGACGAACCGTCAGCGTCCCGATAGGAGCGAATAATCGAGAACGTACCATAGAGGAGTCGTATATCGACAACACGCGAACAGAGATCCTGAATGATCTACGCATATGAGCATCAGGCCCCATTCCTATCTGGAGTAGCCCCTACCTGCTTCTTCTCATGTTCCGGAGTATCTGAAGACAAAGAGCCAACCGCGACCTTGAGCTGCCGCAGACGAGATATCTCTATCGTACTATAAGCTCGGGGTGCCACGACAGGACCCAGGAGCACGAACGATTCTTCATTAATGCTGTACACGCGGAAGTCAGAACATATATCTCATTGCTGATAGGTGCGGGTACGGACCGAGCAAGGGAGATACTACGAGGGTCACGCCATACTACAATCAGGTTAGCAGTCTATCTGCGCATTAATAACCGGCAGCATACATCATCTGCTATCGCAGGTATCTGGAAGCAAGCGCTCTGCAGCACGTTCTCAGCGGTTTGGCGAACGCCTCGGGACATCATACGCACCTTCCCCATGCCGGTAGGCGCAATGACAAGCACATCAAGACCTGACTTCAACGATGAGTAAGCATTCCCAGTACCAAAAAGTCCGCCCGCGCACCCTTGACAGCAGCAGCGAATATTTCCTTCTGCTTTCCCTTATAGTCACTATGTCCAAAGACTGGACGCGGGTTGAGTCAAGCATGACACTGGAGGCAGAGGATGGTAGACCGACTGTCAGTGAGCACACTATTGACAAGTCAGAGAAGTACACTCAAGTAGAGACCTTTTACGCACCGATGGCAGTTGTCCATCAAATTCTCCACTTCTGAAGGAGGCGCAGGTGTCAGATTCGTTGGTGACAATGCCCTCGGTGAGGAAAGCCGGGAAGGCCCGGCGCCCGGCGAGTCTATAAGCTCTATATCTGACGACATCCTAAATAGTATTTTCAACCTCTAAGGTAGC